AAAATAGCTGGCGGATATAAAATTTATGCCTCACCTTTGCGAGTTAGATCGGAGGTTTTATTTTGTCGAACGGTGTAGAAAAGCTCGGCGAGATCGATGAGTGGAACAAATTTGCACGATCGATGGCGCTAACATATCTCGTTTCAAGACGTAACGAAGGAATTCGAGAGACGCCATTTTCGAGAACACATTCGGGATGGATTCTACCATCGAAATTCGACTTCTCGCTCTCTTGTTTTCGTGTCACTTGTTTGTACATTTACACCACACAAACAGAATTCTCTTCGATGCATTATTCGTGGATTAGTTTCTAATTAATTGCTTTAGCAAAGTGTCTGCCTCCGAATCCGATATTCTTTCAACGACACGTGTATGCCAAGCGAAGATAAAAAAATTCCACACTTTCGTCGTGTCCACACAGAGCACACGTATCGCACACTGGAATAAGTTACCGTTGTTGATGTACATCTTTCCGAGACACTGTGTATATATCTGTCGTGATAATCGCGCGACATGTCGGCGGTATGTTGCTGTACGCGTGTACATTGATAAGAATCCGGTTCATCGTCTTCTCGATGCGCACCCGCGTGTGTATCCGATGCATCTCGGATGTATCTCCACGCACAAACATGTGACTTCGACACGTCACCATGTTGCAACGTGTGACGTTGATTTACCATTTCGTCATAGCCAAATCGATGTTCGCACAAAAACCGATATTATCTGTCACTCTTATTATCGTCAAGGTAGCACAACGAATACAACACAAATCTCTTATTTTCGGGATTTAATCCCGATAAATCTTTTAATCCTCCGATAAACATCGTTCTTATCAACCAAACTCTTGGGTGTGACTAGCGAGCTAAAATCATCTTTCTCGCTGTATTTGCGATATTCTAGCTTTATTCGTGTCTTTTTATTTATTATATTCGCGTCCAATTTTATTACGAAAGCAGTTTTAGCAAAAGCAGTTTTACGAAAGCAATTTTAGAATCGGAAATACAATTTTATAGATAATTTGAGTCATTTTTCAAGGTAGATGTCTTATATTCTATTTTAAAAGGACTTGCGCAAGCTGTAACTTTATAATCGCCAAGTTCCGAAATAAGTCTGTAACGCGCCAATTCTATCCAGAGCTGTTTTAGGCTCTTATTCAATTTCGTCGTAAAAGATGACAATCTTTACTTACAGGTAATTCAGTTAGGTTTCGCGCAGATCAAAAGTTGATTTTTTTTAGGAATAAAGATTGACATGTTTAACGTTTAACACTATGTTCCATCATTTCCCTAATAGAAGCAGCTTGAAGCGATATCGGTAGATTTGGTCCGCATTTCTATTCTTCAATGCGTTGTGTTTAAATAAGATTAATAATTTATATACGGAAATCTCCTGGCTATATAAAATTCTATTAAAATCCACAAGTTAATATTGTAATTTTTCGCGATGAATTTTAGACAACCAATAAAATGCTGATCTCAATATTCAATCGAATCCAGAATTTCAATTCTCGAGATTAAATCTTGCATTAATCAATCGGATGTTTTCCATCAAATTAAAAGTGAATTATTTTGAAGATAACGTTTTCAACGGGAATGACGTTTCATTTGAGGCCATCGTATGTTTCTATCTACCCTTTCAATCACTGAATCAGTAAAATATTTCTGATTGAATCAGTAAAAAGAGTATTTCACCGATAATCAGTGAATACTCACTGATTTTCAGCGAAAACACTCCCACTCTGCTCCCTCTTATATCTCGCTGATCTTGAGCAGTGAAGGTAAGGTTTTATTGCAAACTCTGTACACAAAGTTATATTTACGGGAAAAACATCTGATTGAAGTAACCAAATTTCTGGTGAAAAAAATGTGAACGAATCAGAAAACTGAAGTTGAACTTACCAGGATTTCTAATTCGTTCGCGTACGCCATGCAAAACCCAACTTTTTGCGTTCGTAGTGATGAAATTATAACGGCTTTCATGAAATTTGCGTGCAATGGCACTGTTTGTGTTTGCAAATTGCCTCAATGATGGTAACAGTCGCTATGCTATTAACTGATCCTTTTAGCGAGATTTTACTGATTGCAGTGCTCTACTTTATATCTGAACCGTCATTTATAAGTGTAGCATTTCAGTCAAGGATACAGTGATTGGGTGCTTTAAGGTACTTTGAGGAACATTTAAACGCCGAAACTATTGAAATCTGACGGTGCATTTTGCGCGACGTATTTTCGTCACGTTCACCCGCGACAATAAGCCGTGAGGAGCCTCGCTAATGTAAGAAGAGGCAAAAGCCGGAGACTTCGTTCATGTCTAGGACTGCCACCTCGATCATCGCGTTTCCGACCGGCTTCGTGCCGATAGGCTTTATCCGTCCACCCACGAGGCATCTTCCGTCCCGTCTCGATTCGTCTTGACGGCCTTGTCTATTAATATCGCAGCCGCCTTCGAGAATAGGCTTCGGACAGCGTATACAAACGTGGCGGTTTAACGCGCCGAAGACAGTTTGCGGCTCGCTCCGATAAGGTGCAGCGATGACTCGTCGCGGGGAGAGGAGACGGATTCTGATAAGGGGTCGTGCACCCCGGCTTTGGCACGCGTAGCTTCTTGCAGCAATCCGCGTTTATATAGCCGCCTTCGTCATCCGCCGACGTTCCTCCCGACTTTTTTATACGGGACGGTCGATCTCGCGCTGGCAGAGTGCTCGGTTACGCGTTACGCAATAACTGAGAAGCATGAATTAATTACTTATTTACGTGATACTTAATTCATTATTAATATCTCCAAATTGGAAATTAAAAATTAAAGCGTGAAAATTTGAAAAATGTATTATATTATGCGATAAAGAAAATATCGTAGTGTGAAAAATTATCTGTTAATGTTATTTCTCTCTTCAAAATGCTTTTTATAAATACTGAAATTATAATGTAATTGCTATTGAAATAGCAAAATTGACCTTTGGTATATATGATATAAAAGACATTCAAGTAACTCAAGAATTTTATAACAAAACGACAAAACATATGTATAATATTTTTAAACAAATATAAATAGCAATTTTGATCATAATTTTATATGGTTCAAGAGATTACAAAAACTTCAGTATAATTTCCACTACGATATTTTTTCCGTGTATAACATTACATTTGACGCCAAACTAAAATACAAAAAAATATAAAATATATGAGAAATATAAAAGAAATATAATTGTTAATTTAAACAGATATCTAATTTATTGTGTGTACAAATTATTAAGAGGATTAACCTGCCTTGCGTTTGCACGTTTCCGAGCGTTTTTAAATATAGATGAAAATATAATTGCATCCAGGAAAAATAATCACGTAGAACTTGCGCGTTTTGCCGCGACCTCTATACTTTGTTCTCGTCCCATTACTCGTTTATATTGCATTACTATCTGCGTCGAATAAATATCGGGCATCAGTGCTATTCGCATGTCACGATATCGTGCTCGAGTCGCGATAGTTGTTCGAACAAAGAAGCTTTTTAAAGCGCTGGTACGACTATATACATGCGTTTCCGCGCTCGTCTCTAGAACTATATCTCCAAAGATTTGTTTAGAATAATACATTATCGCGTGTCTAATATATAGATAGGATTTCATTTTTCTAATTCAATATAAAACAGTGTGATATCTTTACGTATTCGCTCGCTTATTAATTATAAATACATTTTTTACACGAAGGATGTATAAAATTTTCTTTATTAAAATTAATATTAAAATATCCAATACAATTATTTTGATTTCTTTAAAATATCTTCGTTATTGATATTTATATTTTTCGTGGTTTATGAAAAAAACTTTCGTAATTTTTAATTATTTTTATAGTAGAGCATACTGAGAGAATATCGGAAAAAATCGATGATATTGGGATAAATTATTTTACGGTTTACTTTGTATTGTAAGAGTCATTTTGACTCTTTGTCTAATTGTCAGTGTTATATGAACGTTATACTATTATTTAAGATTTTAACTTTTGGAGGACCGGAAGCCTGTATATCGACGGCGGTGTCAGCTTTTTTCCCATTCAATCCAATGACATTGACAAAAAAGTTTTAGCTCTTAAAATAAAAAAGTCAATAAAAAAATAGCCGGTCCTCAGAAGGTTAATCCCTTACTCTCGCTTAAGTTTATATTTTTTATGGTATGTAATTCATTAATTTCTTTGTACAAGGAGAAAATATTATAGTAAAAATGACAAAAATTCTTTTTTGTAATTTTAAACATACAAAATTATGACCGAAATTATATTTGTTTAAAAATATTATGTCTGTCTGACATTTTAATATTAAATTGTAATAACTACTTGTATGTTTTTTATACCAGAGAAATTATCAAATTTATTATTTCTAGACTAATTTAATATAATACAGTTTTACAAAACACACTGTAAAAAAAATATAATTTTAACACAATTTTTATTATAATATTTTCTCCGTATACTAATTATAGAGCACAAGCAAGTAATAATTATGATGTATTTTACTCTAGGAAATTATGAGTTTGGAAAAGTTATAAAAATTCTTGTAATTTGCTTATAATATAAAATGTTTACATTTTGCAAATTATATTCTTAGCGTGCTTAAAAGTCATTATTGATATGAGTAATGAGGAGTAAAGAGAGTTTGAAAATATTAAAATCATAAAAAGTCAGCCTCTTTTGAGCATTATCCAAAAGGAGTTATTGTTTTTAAGGATTATAGTGTTAAGAGAGAGAAAAGTTCATTTATTTCGTTTTCTTTTTAGTCCGTCCAAATAATATTATAGTAATAATAGGAAATGCAATTTTTTTATCTTTTTGTCATAAAATTTAGGCCTCGAATGACTTTCGCATTATTTGCAAAAAATTATACTAGTCCTTTCAATTTAAAGATTGAACAAAGTTCGCAGTACACGTTGTCTCGCTTAGAGAATAAATAGGAATGAACGAGACTAGACTGTTCGCCTCTCAGGAAGAAGGTGACAAAAGGTCGAAAGCACTCACCATCTCTTGACATGCCGAGGCGTAGGCACTTTTGCAACCGACAGTACTGGCACCGGTTTCTGTTTACACGGTCGACCACACAATTCTTGCTTCGCGGACATTGATAGTTGACAACTGACGACTGCGACCGCCTGAAGAAGCCCTTGCAGCCCTCGCAGGTAATCACGCCGTAATGCACGCCGCTGCTCTTGTCCCCGCACACCTTGCACGGGATTATCTCGATCTGGGCTGCAACCATAAAAGAAACGAACACGTCAATTATGAGCTCTTAGGAGCAGGATGCTTTGCGGAAAACTCTTCGCGCTTTATTGCCTGCCGCAATCCTTCACCCTTATTTCGCGAGTCTCATCAAGTTCGAAGATTATACTCTCGTGAATATGCGTACGTCTACGATGACCTACTGACGAAGGAACACCTGTATATCTGTATTTCTTGCTTCAAAACTTCTCATTTCTCAAGAGTGATGCTTTTCGTGGATCTTAATACTTTTCGTGGTTTATTAAAAAAAAATAGGGCAAACTCTTAAACAAAGAGCAATTGTGAAGCCGCGCGAGGTAAAGACTGACTGTTTAATGAGATAACAGTATTTCCCATGGTTATGAGTAACTCAAAAATGATAAATAATATAAAACTTTAATATAAAATTAATTTCCCATACGCTTTCATAGAAAAAATCTACCTTACATCATGTATTAAGTCACATCTTAAATGTTATGCATTCATTAGAATGATACATAATTACTATTATCATGCCAAGAAAAAAATATTTAAAAATTTATTTTTTAGGATATAAAGTTGGATAAAATGTATTCTTGTGAAATAAATTTTATATCCCACAAATAAATTCTCAAGTGTTTTTCTCTCAATATGGTAATGGCAACTGAATAGGTGACAATTATACGAGTTTTATATGTAGAATCAAATATATATGTGGTTCAATAAATTTTTATAGTTATTACACTGAATAGTTACCAAAATTGGATAATTATTATATACTTCTCGGAACCATTTAGCTTTAATTGTAATAACTGCAATATAATTGATTAAACTATATACACGATTCTACATGCAAAACTCGTATAGTTATCATTTATACAGTCACCACGATATATTTTCCTCTGAGTGTATCGATAAATTTCAATCTTTATTATTCGATCGCGCCTTTTCGTGCGTTTACAACTCCTTTAATCAGAGTATGGACACCATTTGATCGTCATATATAGTCGGGGAGAAGTGTATGGAGTTGAGAGAGAGAAGCTGCAACGTCATTTCAGTCATTACAGTTTCTGTTTCACTCCTAAAGTTTCTCTCTCTCGCTTTCAATCACTTTTTCCTTATATATCGGATCAAAGAGAGCCAAAAAAAATCGACCACCCAATTTCGGCGGATCTGTTCTACCTCGTATCGAGTTGGCTTGCAGCCTACGATCGTCGAGGATCGCGCTGCCGGTGCCGGTGGAAGGCTGCGCGGATCCTCTCGACCTCGATCCTTCCGTCGGCTGAGGACTCGTACTGTCCGCGCCCCACGCAGGCCTGCCGAATCCTGACAGACTTCCCTCCATTTACGGGTTTTTCTTGCTGGTTTCATTTACGATCAGTCGCGGAAACACCGGCACGATCTTCCAGATCCGCACGCACGGTTCCACTTGAGATCGTTCGCTCGTCCGTCCGTCGAACGGACGAGGCTCGAATTATGAATTAGTCTTCCTCTCAAACTCACACGAATGAATCTCACTGCGCCTTACACGGGGTAGTTTGAGCAACGCGCTCACTACGTTTAAGGCGCGTTCGCCGAGTTCTCGATCAGTATTTACGAGACGTTGAGATTAACATCAAACGACGTGATATAATTTTCAGATTTATTAAGATATCTATTATGTTAAAGTTATATCACTTAGAGGTCATAGTGTCATTTATCGTTAAGGTGACCAACCTTATTATTTTGCAATATACACTGTATCTCTCTCTCTCTCTCTCTCTCTCTCTCTCTCTCTCTCTCTCTGTCGCACTAATTGCTTTGATATCTGTTGAAAAATGCGGGAGTATTGTTTTGCACGTGTATGAATTCAACAAACTCTCTTTAAAACGGAAAGATCACGAGAAGCTCTTAAACACATCACAAGCGTTTGCGTTCGAAGAATATCGAACTTTGTCTCTTATGTTCTACGTTGTGAAGAATTCATTTTTTGAGCAAACTTATCAATCATTAGGTCTATCATTCTCTTATTATCTATTAGAGTTTTGATAAAATTCCACATTCGATGATGGCGTAGATAGCGGTGTTCAACCAGACGGAAGATAGATAGATCTACGATCTATCGTTATCTGTCTCAATTCCCAGACGGCACCAGAATTAACCGGTATCATTCGACGCGTGTGTCGAATTCACCACCTCTTTGAACACAAATGGAAAGTTCGTCGAGTCGAAGCATGCTCTTGACCTACCGAACGACACGAGTCCGCAAAAACCTCCCGTGCATCGTCGGGAGACGCGAGTCTGTTCAGACGGAATCTCGGGGTATCGCCGCGGGATTACCCCCAGGAAATCGGATCGGTGATTTCCGTGGGCCGAGAAATCGGAGAGTAGCCTGTGATGCAGCGACGGAAAAAGCCCGACGTGCAAAGCAGCCTCGTGTATCGTGGGTGGAGCAGACGCGGTGCGAGGGGAAGAAGGGAGAGGAGGGAGGAGGGATGCGTCGTGATGACTCGCACGTGTGCGTGTGCGTGTCGTGCGCGGAAGCGAGGATTCGGTGCGGACTGTCTGCTGGATATATCGCGCTTCTCCCGTCCGGCAACTCTAGCGCCACGAGCAGAGCGTCGAGGCGCTTGCACCATACGTACGCGGCCGAACATTACATAACCGAGAACGATGAACCCAGAGTACAGTCACCCGGCACGCTCGCATCTTCGACGTGCGTCATGCGGAGAGCGCAGCGTGCAACGGCGGCGGCGGTGGCGGCGACGACGGCGGCGATGTAGCAGTGTTATACCCGAAACTCCCGAAATTGAGATGACCGCACTTCTTCCCCGACTCGCCGCTGCACCGTCGCGATTCCCTGGGCGATTCTTATTAGCGCGCAGCGATCGAGAGACTTACACGCGTTCATTAGCCGATATCACGTCGTTCCATACACATATATACATACACAGATGGGACAACGTGCAGACGTTACATCTGGTCTGATCCAGTTGTTGTATTTTTTTCAAATGTAGCATGCCATCTCCCCCTCCCTCGCACTTCCGGCGAGGAAGCAAGAAATTAGGCGTGATCAAAGTGTGGTTCTTGCTTCGATTCAAGCAGATTGTCAGGCAAAATGAGTTTGTCAAGAATTCATTGAAACTTGCGTTACATAAATAAGTTGAAATATTACCTAACTGCTCGTGCAATTAGAAATAGACCAATCATTCGAGATATTTGAAACCAAAACTGTCACTTTTTATGTGTTCCTTAGAGTTGGGGTGCTATTTTTAATTTCTTGCAAACTGGAATTAAAGTTATAATGAAAAACTACTATAGTATTAAAGATTAATATATCGATATCATACGCCAAACTCAGAATTACTAAACGTTTTTGTTTTATATAAGGTGAAGAAAACTCATAATTTATAATAATACTTAAAATACATAATTTATAATAATATTTGTAATGTTTTTTAACGTAATATTTTAACGTAATATCGTAATATTTTAACACTTATACACCTCTTTCTATAATCTATATATCTATATTAGATAAATTCATAAATGAAGCATTAATAAGAAAAATTATACAATTATTATTTTTTGTATTATATAATATTTTTTGTATTATTAACATTATGCATATAGACCAATTTTGTCTCAGATTAACATATTTATTAATTGAATAAATATATAGAAATATATATAATTTTGTTTGACAAATAGTAAGTTTATGAGTTGTCCCTTTGATAAGTCACTGAAAATACATGACATTGGCCTTATAACCTTCTTAAATATTCATTATTTCGCATTTCCTTTTCTTAATGCTGTTTCGTTTCTCCCAGTTCGACTGGTAGAACTGTTTTGGTCGCAAGCACATTTCGCATAAGAGTTTTCGACAGCACGCAAAGCAATTTTCTGTTCGATTTATCTCAAGTTCTCACGCTGCTGCGACTATATTTCTGTTTCTTTCTCTGATTCGCGTCGCGTATCAATTTCTTACGGTAGTATATTTGCGCAATACTCAAACCATAGCGCGTTGCGTCGTCGCGTGCAGTCCTTTTCTTCCCAATCCGACTTCTACGCACAAGCTGTTGCTATCGGTGCTTATAACACAGCGTTATCATCTCGAAAAAAAGGAGAGAGAGAAATATAGAAGTTTCAGACTCTCCCAGAAATTACGACAGCGCGCACGCAATTTGTCCATATTGCTACATTACACTAATTCCCTTTTCCCCACGCGAAGAGTAAGTTTGTTATTAAATATAATTGCCAACGTCAGAAAGGAGACGTTACCTTAAAAAGTTACGGAGTCCTCCATTAATTAAGCCAGCAATTATGCAGATATTACACCGATTGCTGTACAATAAATAATATTGCACTAATATAGAGAGTTCCTCGGTATAATTGATCCATCCGACTGACGTGGATCGATAAAATGATCTTCTAACTCCTTTTTTATTTTAATTTTCCGGACCGCTACTCAAGCGCGCGCTTCGTTTGCCATAATAAGCTTTACCAAACCGAGTTTATAGTGAGACGCGGCAGCGTCTCGTCGCGCCAAGTGTATAATAAATAAATCCTTCCTGGCTGCGCTATATGTAGCTCTTCCACGGAAACACTGTTTCATCTCGCGTACGCTCACGAAAGCGAGAAGACATTTTGGCAAGTGATATCGACTATATATCTCTTAAGTAATTCTACCGAATTAAACGCGAATCACGACTGTCGTACGGAGATCTTGCTCTCTTCTCTCCTTCCTCTCTCTCTCTCTCTCTCTCTCTCTCTCTCTCTCTCTCTCTAGAAGTCTCTCGAGATTATTATACGCGACTGCGGTGCACGACCATTGATCCGAACACCAGAAGCTGTCAGAAGAAACTTTCAGAGATTCGAAATTAAAGATTTATACATGTCACTTCATCCTGATCGACGTGCGCGAAACCAATGTGTGCCGTCATGCGCACCGACTTTGCAAATAATTTTGGACTCGAATTCGTCGTGTCGCGGAACGCGGTATTTTCGTTTCCTCCAGGAACTCGTCTAATTTT